CAAAATACAAAACACACGCAAAATACAAAACACATGCAAAATACAAAGCACATGCAAAATACAAAACACATGCAAAATACAAAGCACACGCAAAATACAAAACACACGCAAAATACAAAGCACAACGGAAGTGCTCCAGGACGCTAGGGGCAGTGTTGAGTTTTTGTTACCTAGTGGCTACATAAGCCATGACGTTTCTAATGACCGGATTTGGTGTGTGGCAGTAAAAGGTAAATGAACCTTCTTTTTTTTTTTAATTATTTGAATATATATTAGTGTTTGTGTATAAATCAACAACTAATACACATATGCTCTCAATTGTGTAATTTAAGTTATCTAGGTAGTTGTGTTTTGGAAGTTCTGTTTTACGCTAGCAACATAGCTGTTGTGTTGGAAATGCGTTTGTGTATATACACTTTAGCTTAGGTTTGCCCTTTGCCGTTTTAATACTCTATTTTAAAAGAAAAATGCTGTTTGTTTCAGGATAAGAATGTTTTGTCCATATTGTGGCCATAACGTGGGAGAAGTCAAGTTCTGCGGTTCATGTGGCAAACATATTGAGTTTTTGGCGTTTGTCGACAACAGTAAGTATTTCACAAATAACATTTAAAAAAAAGGTTGTCTCAACCAGTTCACAAAGCTGCCATTTGGCTGTTTACAGTTTATTTACATTTGAATGCAGTCCTTATGTACTATATTATTTTTATGTTATATAAATTGCATACACGTTATTTTGCAATCATTTAAACCATTAAGGTATATATCTGTGAAGATTCTTAGTCGTCCAGGTTAGGGTTATAGTTGTAGACTTTATTTGTCTTGAATTTACTGAGGCCCAAAGAAGCAACATATTAATTTAGTTTAATAATGAGACAATACATTGGTTTTAAAATGTCATTGTTATTTAAAACTGCACATTTCTTGTCTGATGATCTATTTTACCATTTCCCATCTTTTTTTTTTCTGTTTATAAGGATCAATTCCAGAAAACCATTGGTATCACAATGGTGTTTGCACATGTTTTCCCAATTGGGAAACGTGATGCATCACCAAACAGCAATCTTGGTCTTGGTTCCATTCCAGCTGGTGGAATGCTGTTTAGGCCCGTGGCAAACATCAGTATGTCTTGTAGGGAGACATACTGATGTCTCCCTACAAGACAAGCATAATCAAAGCATTATTTGATTATGCTAAAATAATGCTTTAAATTATATGCCTTTTTATTTTAATAAACAATTAATCATCCAAGCTTAACTTCAGAATGTATTAATTTAATTTTATAGTCAGATGGTATAACTTTCTCACCAGCACTGTCAAATGTAAGAAATTTGCTGTCCTCAAGTCCATCAAAGATTCGTCGTGATCTAAGGCATTTCATTAATAATGTCAAAAATTCATGTTTAGGACCACCATTATCCATTCCATCTTCACGCTGTCCTGCATCATCGCTGAACTTCACTAGTATATCATCAGTTGGGTTGTAAGACACACGTCTAAAGCCCCGAGCTGCTCCATCCGCACTGTATCCTCCACAATACAAAACTTACCTATTTCTTGAAGGTGCTCTTTCCGGTGTGCTGTGATTATCTGGAAAATCCCATACCTGATAAGTAGTAAAATAAGCTTAACAGCACTTTTTAAAACTTTAAAATTTCCTTGATTATATTGGTGTATACAAACACAGACACACACACAAAACAATGGTAAAGAAAAAAGACTAACCACAGTGTCCGACAGTGGGCTTTCTACTGCTTTTACTTGAACTTCATTGTCCTCTTCAGATTCACACTCTGTGTTGCAATCTGCAAATATTCAATGATTCAAAACATACATATATTTAAATTAGACTGTATGTATTGAAAGCTATATCTAACAATTAGCAAACATATAGAACACTTTGGCTATGCAGCACAAATTAAATATATTTGAAATCTGTGGCAAAATCATGTCACTCTCTGATTAACATTTTTTTGAAAATCTTGAATTATTTTTAATATCTAAAATTTATGATTGTCACTGCATTATCAGAATCACTTACCAGTATTTAAGAAGTCATCATGGTTACAAATGTAGAGAGTTATTCTTTGATAGGCCTTCCCTATGGCATCCTTGTATTTTTGGATGTTGAAAGGGGTGTTGGTTCCAGGAATTGTGTTAACTTCCCTTGCATCAGGGTATAGCAGTACATAGGGTCCATCGGCCATGTCCTGGTTAAAGTCCTTATGTTTTTTCACGCTGGCAGACAAGATTTGCTCAGTTGACCAGTGAGAATGAACATCAACTGGAAGTGACTTTCCTCGAACAGGTCTTATACCATCACTGGTCCTTCTCATGATGCCAATCTGTATCTAGGAATGAGATTAACAATAACATGTTTTTACATCTTTGCTCCTACATGATCTTCCCTGTCTTCCATTTTATTTCTGATCTGTAGTTGTGCTCCAGCTGTGCTGTGACTCAAAAGACAACATTAGCGACTAAATCTAGTTTTAACAGGGGGCATATATTATTGAAGGAATGTTGACCAAAGGCTGACAATTAAGAAATTCTGATCAGGTTAAAAATTGTAAGCCCTGTATCAGTGGTGAACTACAATCCCCAAGAGCGGCAACTAGATCGTTTCTAGTTTCTTCAACGTTCCCCGAGCAACACTAATGTCCAAGGTTGTGATTAGCTGAACACACCATATGCAGGTAATAAACAGCAATCAGCCTCAAAGTAAATTAAACAGAGATAGTACGGGGGGAGGGGAGGGGGGGGGGGGGGTCCATAGCTGTAGAGGACATAGTTGGCCACCCTTGCAATATATACAGTTCCTTTCATATGCATATGGAAATTTACAGCGATGCCTTGGCAGTGCTACAGGTAATTTGGATTTTGTATTAGCAACAAAAGTGGTCAACGTCCACGTTCAAGTTTATGACATACCTTCATTGGTTTCTGTTCCTGGTGTTTCTTTGAAAAAAATGCCTTTCTTTCCCTTTCTTTCACATCCCTAAATTTTATAAATGACTCCACTAATGATTTCCCAGCTATAAACAGAAAAAAAAAAATTATCATTTTAGGGAAGGGACAGTTAAGGAGATTTATTTAATACAAATATGTTTTTTACCCTGTGTAGACTGTATAGTTGTGCCAGTCAGGATGCTGGAACTGGTAGATGGAAGAGCTGCTGCCTCTTCACCAAGGGCAGGATTTCTCGACACAGTGCTGGTGATGTCCTTTAAAAACTTGATGTTTTTACCACATAGACTACAAAAGGCAGGACTGTCTGCCAAGAGGTGTCCACAGAAGGGACAGTACATCTGTAAAAATGACCCCATCAAATGTTTTACAAAATTAAGATTCACTACAACCCACAGAAAATACAAGTATTTCACATCTTACATTAAGACTCCTGAACCAAAAACATTACACTTAGATTTGTATAACCTCACTTGCAAATACTTGTTTTACCATGAGAATGTTTTTCAATCAATTACTCAGAGCAAAATATTAAAATAAGATTACATATTTTATCTTAACTTTCATTCTATATATGTATATAAACGGCACAGCATGCTACTTTTTATGTTTAGCAAAGGACAGAAATCGCTAAAACATGACGTTTTCATACTTTTATCCATTTTTTTAAACCAGTTCTCCATGAGCAAAGCATAAACCAAGCGTTCATAGTAATAAAAAAACAACAACAATCAAACTAACAACAGTTTGCACATTACCTTTATTATGAGGCGTGGTTGGTCTATCCTTGCTGGTGTTTTCCGCTGGTATCCATCTCCGTGTGTTTGCAACAAACTTCCCGTTTATTTTGCAAATCGAGCTCAACACTGCCCCTAGCATCCTTGAGCACTTCCGTTGTGCTTTGTATTTTGCATGTGTTTTGGATTTTGCGTGTGTTTTGTATTTTGCATATGTTTTGTATTTTGCATGTGCTTTGTATTTTGCATGTGTTTTGTATTTTGCATGTGTTTTGTATTTTGCGTGTGCTTTGTATTTTGCGTGTGTTTTGTATTTTGCATGTGTTTTGTATTTTGCATGTGTTTTGTATTTTGCATGTGTTTTGTATTTTGCATGTGTTTTGGAGTTTGTACGTGCTTTGTCTCTAGGGACCACCGTACTCAGGAGACCGCATGGCATTCTTCGGAGCTTTACTGATCCTTATTTTTTTTTTTTTGTAAAACTGTAATAACAGAAACAGAATACAGTGTATTCACTCTCCATTCAAATACACAAAGATTACATTAAATATTGTTGACTTATGTAAACAATCACTACACAATCTCAGTATCAACACATGTCAAAAGATATAGCCAACACCACATGCTGGTATACTTCATGTTAGCAGGCTAAACAAAGGGCTAACAGCTAGCTTGTGCTAGTAATGTAACAAACTCGCTAAACACACAAGAAACTCATTACTTTGCTGAACAAGGTACTAATAAGTGGGAACAATAAACCGTTTTGCCACACTTACAGATTATGCCTTTTCAAGGGCGTCAGATGCAGGAAATTACAGAGACACAGAGAAATGGACCTTCCCTGTTGAGCGCTGGGAGAAAACCACTGCTTGCGCTCTAACATGGCGCGACCCTGTCAACCCACTAGATGGCAGGCTTTGCCCAGACAAGATCAGGAATAAACATATTTTCTGACACGTTGCAACAGTTAATTACAGAACGAATGATTATGACCCGCCATATAACAAACTTATAAAAAACACACCTTAGAAATAACAGGAGGGGCAGAATAAGGCAAGTTCAAGTTTAAGGCAGATAAGATAAAGATTAAATATGATTTAAAAGATAAAGGGTAAGAGCATAAAGATTTAAGAAATTAGTTAAAAGCCTGATTAAAAATATTAATCTTGAGTCTTTTTTAAAAAACATCACGAGTGTAGAGAATCTTTGACCTTCAACATATCATCACAAGTGAAGACCAGATTATAAGGTTAGACAATAATTTTAATACAGTCATTATGATCATCAGATACCTGATGGTCTTTGATCAGCTCCTCTCCACTCTCTCCAAGATACTCAACTAAGCAACGAATGATAATGTCCCTTCTGCCATCGACATGATGCTATTAAACCCAAAAAGAAAATTTATTGCAGAAAATACACAACATAACATATGTAACATACATACATAACAGCACATACAGATGTAAACAGAAAGTTACCCATGGAGAATGTAAGCCTGCAGCTACATTCTAACGTTGTGAAGTGCGCAACTTAACATGAATTTCTCAATGATATGTGTTAAGACAAGAGTCCAGTGCATGTCATAATCTGTGGGTCCAGAAACTGTCTCTGCCCAGTGAGGAAAGTTTTCTGCCTCATCACTGGACATGCAAATGAATTTTTCGCAACATATCAGTACCTCCTATCACAATATTCACCAGTCAAGGACAGGAATTCCCACACGCAAGAGTAATATTTTGGGAAATAATTGTATTGGAGTCTGTGGGCAACAGGAAGGGATCTCGCTGCACTCAGAGGGTCACCTTGAAAATTCTGTAAATTTCTCTGCTTTTGAGCGCATATTAAGGGAGAGATGACAGGTATGGGCAGAAATCTGTGCCATCAGAAACTGAAATTGAATAAGTTAAATTTGAATTTGAATTGCTCAGATTGAATCTGAATTGTAACTTGAATAAATGCTTTTGAAAACGGAATTTGAATTAGTCTAATTTGAAATTGAATTTATGGTTTGAAAATGATCATCACTAAATTGAAATTGAATTTTATATTTTGAAAATGAATTCGTTTGCTTTGAAACTGCATTTTATCCTTTAAAAATTCAGCTCTCGAATAATTTCAGTTTCACTTCTCACCATTCAGTTTCAGTTCTACAATTCAATTTCAGTTCCAAAATTCAGTTTTTTGGAACTTACATCCGGTTCCGGTTCTTGCGTAATCGAACTTCGTTTTACTAGCGGACCGCAAGTGGCAATCTACGACATCTTGAGCTGGAGCTGGAGCTGGAGTAATTCTCCTGAAGACATTCGTGATGTCAAATGACCAGTTGAGAAACGCTCAGGTTGGTAATAAATGTATTACATGTATAAGAACAAGCGTCATGTTAACAAATAATACCCGTACAGTAACGTTTATGTGTGTTGTAGCTGTTAGCTAAAAACGCTAATTTAGCGTAGATTGCCCTGGGTTCAGCGTTGACAAACAAATATGAAAGACAGCTTTCAATAGAATCCCAAAGTTGTCATCTTGTAGCCCTCCGGAGTCCTCCACACTTGCAGAGGCCCCTACAGTAGGAAAATGTGCAAAAGAATGTCAAAACCATTGCTATTTGGGTTTACTTATGTCTCACACAGCATCCCAAGTCTTTAGCTTACTTAAAACCCTTAGCTACAGTGTATATTTAGTCCAACACTCATCAGTGTCTGGATCATTACTGATCACTTCGGTGTGATATGATATATAACTTTTCTGTTACATAGTGTATGATTAAATACACAGTACTCTTAACGTACTCCTCAATTCTTGTGTTTGACAGGCAGACAGTTCAGAAATCAGCAAGACACCTGCTAAATTTACTAACTTCTACCACTGTTTGGCCCAGTGTTCAGACTCACCAAGAGCCTCCCAGGTTTTGTGAAGCTAGACACAAACAACACATGCACAGATTACCAAATGACTTTTGAATCATTTGACATGTGTTTTATTGTTGTACTATATTAATTAGTTAGCATAAAATTATGTGATGCATCTTCTGAATATTGTGTCATTCTAGCAGACAGGAAACGAGTCAGGAGAGAGGGAGAGATGGCCGACCAAGTGTCCACACAGAAATGACTAGGTTCCTTGTTGTATTTGTTCCTTTGTCAGACTTGTTGTTCCTTATACTTACTCATTTAAGTTCTCAATACCCATAACTTGTTCAGATGTACAATTGTATTATTTTATATCAACTTATAACATGTCTTCCTGCTCTTTATGGAAACAAAGCAAAGCGCCGGTGCTTTCGAGGGCCTGCCAACCAATTCACACCAGTTAAAGAGATACAACTTAATTTTTATCTCTTACCCAAGGTTGTTCAGTCTACTCCAAAAGGCAGTGAAGAATTTGTCCATCTGCAAGCTGGTTTGGGACGTAGGTCTACACTGATACCTGACAGCTACAGTCATGATGAGGTAAGGTACTGCTCCACATTGACAGGAAAATATATTTGTTGTAAGTTAACGATCAACAAGTGTTTTTCTTTATTCAGAGTCAATTAATTTGGTGGCCGATGGTTTATTTCAAAGGTATGTTCAAGACTCAAAGATCTGTATCCAAAACTGGAAAGTGTTTCTGGGGGCTGGCTGATTTACAAGGGAGCAGGTAGAAAAAACCTCTTAATGGCCATTCCAACTTTTGAATTGATAGTTATAGAAGAATTTTGATGATATCATGACCATGAATGCACTGCAATGTGTACTGCCACATTTTAAATAGTACTGAGTCACTCACTTTTCTCGACAGGTGGATGGGGTTCTCGGAAACTAAATATGGTGCCTCCTGAGGACAGTGGATATACTGGGTCACTGCTAAAAAATGCAAGTGCTGGGGGAAAGACCATCCTTTACATTGCTCCAATCCAGGAAGAGCTAGACACTCAGCCGCTGCCTCCTGACTCTAGCTCCTTCTCCAATATGCCAAAAGCGATGTGCCACTCATGTCAAACCAGCTACCCACTTCAACTCTTAGCACTGCATGTTGAAACATGTCAGCCTTCAGATACTAATGCACAGGAGGTGTGTACAGTCCCGTTGCATGGATGAGTCTGGGAGATCACATTACACGTAGCTTTGTCCTATAAAACTACGTAATGACTGAAACGTGTTTTGAAAATGTTTTTATCAGTCAGGAGCTTCATGTTCAATGTTGTGGATGTCACTACACTTGCTTGTGTTTCTGTAGGTAATTTATTAAGTTTGTACTTGCTATTCTCCTTTATCAGACTTGTAATGAAGACATAGAGGACGCACCACATCCCATACCACATACAGAAGACGATCAACTTAACTCACATCTAAAGGTGAAGTTTTGTACCCCTTTAACCTTTATCTATTTGACTGTGCATGACAAAGACGGGAACATAAATATGATGCCTTACATTGAATGGGGAGAAAGTTGAGTTTGATTAAAGTGTCCTACAATAGCCAAGTTGAAGAGGTTCATTATTAGAGGTTGGATTTATTCCTTATATCTAAAGTGGGTAGCCCATGTAAGCTGTATTTGTAATGAAAGTTGACAGATAAGCAACCATCAGATGTATGGAATCACATCACAATTCCATTCTTTTAAAGTTGCTGGTTTTTTCCCCTTTCTTTGCTTGTCTTGACAGGATGTGGAGGAAGATGTCATTATTTTGTCCTCAACTGCAAAGGTAATGTTGAGTGCAACGTGTTGAATGTCTGTCTTTGAGGCATTATTGATTCTATCGTTGATATTGTTTCCTGTTACAGATTGTGTGCCCTGTCTGCGGTGAGACATTTCCTCAGAATGAGGTGGAGGCACATGCAAGCGAGTGTTGTGAGAGGTAATGCAGTCTTTTAATATGGCTTCCAACGTATGTTTGAGAATTTCCCTACAAGCCTTTTGCTTTCCACCTATTAATTTATATTTTGATAGACAGCATTTTATGCTTTGTTAGTGATTGTGCCATGTATGTTATACTTTGGTTTTGATCCTTATAAAAAAATTTTTTTTTTTTTTTTGCATTAGGTTTTGTCATTGTTGCCATAACATTTTTAATTGTTTAAGTCTTACAGAAGTTATTACAACACGGTTGAAGAAGTTCTCTTTTAAGTTTTTAAGTTGTAAAGGTATTGTTTTATTTGTTGCTTTTGTACAGTACATGTTTGAGGTCAAGTGATGTTGTTTTTACTCTGGCATTTTATCATTACAGCAATGCAAACCTACCTTCACAACAAAGGATGGGCATTTCTAGGTTTGTACACATCAGTAGTCTTTCTTCAATGCTCTGTACAGTGGTTTTCAAACAATTTCTGCCAAGTACCCTTTGTGTAAAGGAATCCAGCTACCTAAAGGCTTAGCCTGCCTACTGCATTTTCTTCTTCTGTTAGGTCAAAGTCACATACTGCTAGTGGTGACACAATTCAGTTTGAAAACCTAAAAGACATTAACGAATACACATGAATACACACAACATGGTTTCCAGTATCATGTTTGTAATTGCGAGTTTTTCTCCATTAGCCTGGATGAAATCCTGCAGGCCATAAGTACTGCTGTGAATACAGAGGAAGAATTCCGTATCACTGTCTCAAGATCCAATATGGTGGAGCGGGGACTTGCAGAGTGGAAGAGGCAAAAAAAGGCATTGCCTACAAATCAGCTGAGGGTCACATTCATCGGAGAGGCAGGAATTGATACAGGGGCATTACGGAAAGAATTCCTCACAGGTACTCATATTTAAAATGTGATCTAAATTGATAGGAGTGAAAATGGCTACTTAACCGGACTAACTATTTGTGTTAAAAGAAATGGTTGCAGGCTTGGAGCAACGGCTATTTGAGGGTGACCAGACTGGGAAGGCTCCCAAATATTCATTGCTGTATCTCGATCTAGGAAACTTCCGGTAGGCCTTTCTCACATGCATTGGGGTCCGCAGTTGTGTGTACACACACACGCATTGGAAATTACCTGATTGATGTTATTTATCTCTTCTCCTCTCACAGTAGTGCTGGTGAAATTTGGGCAGTTAGTCTGGCGCAAGGTGGGCCACCACCCTGCTGCCTCAAAGACTGGTGTTACCAGTACTTGTGTAGTGGACAGCTGCAGATTGAGAACATTAGGAAAGAGGATGTCTGTGATGATCATTACACTTCTGTTATCTCCCAGGTATGAAGTCTTAAAGGTTTCACTGCTCTACAGTGTTTTGAATTACATGTTTAGCACAGATTTTACCATCCCTTATGTTATTTGCAAATTATAGGACTCTGGAATTGGTCATGTTAATGTGTATGTTTGTGTCCTTTAAGGTTGATTCGGCAACAGAAGATAAAATGACAGAACTCACTGATGAAATTTTGAGTTGTGGCTATCATGGACCTGTTAA